TTTCGATTGTATGTTTGACGTTGGTTAGCTTTCCTGTAACAATTTCATACCCTTTAAAGAGTAAAAACCAATTCAAGGTGTTTAGTCAGCAAATGTTAAAAAGAGATATATTAAAAAAAAAACTACAAGAAGTTCAAATTGTGTTGCATCTCAAATAAAATAGTAGGTTTATATTATTCCATATTGGAACTCGAGGTCTGCCACAGGAAGTCGCATATTATTATTTTGTTGCAGTGAAAACAATAGATTGCTGTAATGTCACCAGTACTACATTATACGTGAAAGTCTACACACAATTCTAATGAGTTCACTACTGTCGATCTTCTACAAATTTAAGTAAGCTGTATTTGAATTGGTGGTAACTTATTTTGACACTAAGTCTTAAATAGGCTAACTCTTTGGCCACGTCTTAAATAGGCTAACTCTTTGGCCACGTCTTAAATAGGCTAACTCTTTGGCCACGTCTTAAATAGGCTAACTCTTTGGCCACGTCTTAAATAGGCTAACTCTTTGGCAACACTTCTACTAGTTGAGGTTTTTTAGTTTTTAGGAATGTTTCTTTTTTTTTTTTTTTTTCATTCATACAGGTCCATGGTAAGCAAACACTGCGATTAGTAAAAAGCATGACGTTAGGTGCCATGCTCCACAAAGATATGCATCAATATGTATATCTTGATGGGAAAATTATTATAGCGACACCCCATCAAAGGTGACGCTTACTTACCGATTTGGACCTGAATGTGATACTAAAAATTTGTGGTCACTTGGCTAGTTTTGTTCTTAATTTATGAATGTAGAGTACGTTACACAAATGTAAACGAAAAAAAAATGTACCAGAGTTCGTAAACACATTTTCTAGAAGGCTAGTGATTCACAATGGTTCATAATAAATAATTACTGTCATCAATGGGTTATCAAATGGTCAGCATACAGTCCTGGAGTCTTGTGGTCAGTTGGACACGTGTGTGAGATTTTTCGTGCTGGATTTGATTTACTCTTTCAAATATCGACCTCAGCCATAGCTTTTTGGTTTCTCCGCGGTTTCCGCTTTTTTCTTGCATGCGCATCAGAGTGCTGACCTGGCTAGTGAAGTGGATGGCCTTCTAAGGATGAAGCTCCCAATATTCATTGGCTGTCCTTCATCGTTCCCACACTTGGCTCTAAAAGTACCAAACGAAAGGTAAAGCATAAAAGTACACTTGGCTATGATACAATATCTAATATAGAAATTTGGCCTACTTGCCGTTGCATTGATGTAAAACCTCTATCACACTGTCGATCTAGTTCAACATAGGATGTCTCCGTCAAATAGGTGAAATAAAGATTTCGATTGGGATGTACTCTACAGGCATGCATCGCAGCTGGAAATTACCACCATTCACGTCGTTCTTCGGGCTTTAAATCAGTGAACTTTTAACATGACAATAAAAGGGTTTACTTTGGTGACACATCGTTTTGAGTCCAAACAAAATAAACACTGAATTGAAGAATATATTTAATTTGTCGACGCATGACATACAAATCAGTGGTTCTCAAAAGCGTGTTGTCCCACTCCGGCGCCTAAAAATGTTTACTCAACGTTCTATTTTTTTGTTGTTAAAAAGCTAATGAAAAAAAAGGCTATGCCTCCATACTACCATCAGGATGGTTGAAATTCAAATACAACGTTTTTTAAAGGGGATTTTCAGTGATATCTTTTTAGTTCGTAATTATGGGGTATACAATGAATATTCACTTTAAAAAGTGTCCTGTCTAACATTCCATCCAATTTACTGTTCACTTTAAATCATACCCATTACATTTCCTCCCGCACCCACCACCCCACTCCCTTTCCAAACTATTCATCATTCAATATATTTCCTCAATTTATTTCATTAAACAAGGTACTTCTGTTCTAAAATCTTTATTTAGAAGCAGTGGTGTCTCTAGATTTAGTGACGCCTGGGGCGCGACAATATTTGAGCACGCCACGTTCAACGAAAAAAAAATGATGTGGGGTGGGGGGGGGGGAAAGTGCCGTCCCTCCATATTAAGAAAAATAATCGCCGCCCTAGGCGAATGTACGCCTCCGCACCCTCTTTCCTATGCCACTGCATGACAGTAACTGCCAACTCATCCGTCAATGATTTCACTTGCAGTGTATCATCCACTCAGCTGTCGTCTCAACTCATTCAATTATCAATCCACTCACTTACAAAGACATTTCTTTGAACAAAAATGTATTGTACAATTCATTCATTGACTTATTCAACAACCTATCGATCTACCGATTCCACCCACCTCCTCCCCCTAAAAAAAAAAAACCCGAATGCTAACAGTTTAAAATACATGATTCGAATAATTGTTGCTTTTATTTCAAAAAACTTTTTAATTTCCATCTATGAGCTGCCATGCAAAATCGAACGTTACGACTTTTTTAAGAGAAATGTAATTCGACTTTGAATGCGCTTACACAGGAGGTTAACGAGTTAAGCTATTGATACGCACCTTCATCTGTTCGATCTATGTATTTCACAGTGTTAAGTACACACCTTGAATGAAGGGAATGTCCCCCCCAACCCCCCCCCCCCACCCATTTATTCGCATGGTTCTGAAAAACCCCGATTCTTTCATGATTGCCATTAGTGAAGATCCTCTTTTAGCTATCTTCAAAGAATAGCAATTCTCAGCACTTTTTATATTACGACACATTCAAACACGTCTAATTTTTTGTTTTAGGATTTAACCTTCACCCCCAACCCCCACCCATCCCCCCCCCCCCCCCCCCCC